CCGCTCCATCCTTCCCTGGATCCTTCCCAAATCCTGCTTTGGGATCAGCTCTGTCCTTCCCTGGATCTTTCCCAAATCCTGCTTTGGGATCAGCTCCATCCTTCCCAAATCCCACTTTGGGATCCGCTCCATCCTTCCGAAATCTCGCTTTGGGATCGGCTCCATCCTTCCCTGGATCTTTCCCAAATCCCCCTTTGGGATCAGCTCCATCCTTCCCAAATCCCCCTTTGGGATCCGCTCCATCCTTCCCTGGATCCTTCCCAAATCCTGCTTTGGGATCAGCTCTGTCCTTCCCTGGATCTTTCCCAAATCCCCCCTTGGGATCAGCTCTGTCCTTCCCAAATCCCCCCTTGGGATCCGCTCCATCCTTCCCTGAAATCCTTCCAAAATCCCCCTTTGGGATCCGCTCCATCCTTCCCTGAAATCCTTCCCAAATCCTGCTTTGGGATCAGCTCTGTCCTTCCGAAATCCCCCCTTGGGATCAGCTCTGTCCTTCCCAAATCCCCCCTTGGGATCAGCTCTGTCCTTCCCTGGATCTTTCCCAAATCCTGCTTTGGGATCAGCTCCATCCTTCCCAAATCCCACTTTGGGATCCGCTCCATCCTTCCGAAATCTCGCTTTGGGATCGGCTCCATCCTTCCCTGGGTCTTTCCCAAATCCCCCCTTGGGATCGGCTCCATCCCCCCTGGCCGGACACAGCCCTGGATCCAGGGGGACCATTCCCGTCTCCCTGGGATTTTCCCGGTGGGATTGATTTTCCATGAGGAATGATTTCCGTGTGGGATGATTCCCAGTGGGATTTATTTCCCCGTGGGATGATTGATTGGTTGGTTTCCTGTGGGATGATTGATTGATTGATTGATTGGTTGGTTTCCTGTGGGATGATTGATTGATGGATGGATTGATTGATTTCCTGTGGGATGATTGATTGATTGATTGATTGATTTCCTGTGGGATGATTGATTGATTGATTGATTGATTGATTTCGATTGATTGATTGATTGATTTCCTGTGGGATGATTGATTGATTGATTGATTGATTGATTTCCTGTGGGATGATTGATTGATTCCCTGTGGGATGATTGATTGATTTCCTGTGGAATGATTGATTTCCTGTGGGATGATTGATTGATTTCCTGTGGGATGATTGATTGATTGATTTCCTGTGGGATGATTGATTGATTGATTTCCTGTGGGATGATTGATTTTCTGTGGGATGATTGATTGATTTCGTGTGGGATGATTGATTGATTTCCTGTGGGATGATTGATGGATTGATGGATTGATTGATTGATTTCCTGTGGGATGATTGATTGATTGATGGATTGATTGATTAATTGATTTCCTGTGGGTTCCCAGGGCAGGAAGGTGCCGGGGGGGCCGCAGATGCTGCAGCTGAGCCTGGACGGGCGGCGGCTCTACGTGAGCACCTCCCTGTACAGCGCCTGGGACCGGCTCTTCTACCCCGAGCTGCTCAGGTCAGGGCCCACATCAGCAAGAATTCATCATTAATCATTATTAATTATTGTTAATAATTATTAATAATTATTAATAATTATTATTAATTATTAATAATTGATTATTAATGAGTAGTTAAGTGGTCTCGGTGCCCCCAGGGAAGGCTCAGTGCTGCTGCAGCTGGACGTGGACACGGAGCGGGGCGGCCTGGCCGTCAATCCCAAATTCCTGGTGGATTTCGGGAAGGAGCCGGGCGGGCCCTGCCTGGCGCACGAGATGCGGTACCCGGGGGGGGACTGCACCTCCGACATCTGGCTGTGATCCCGGGAATCCCGGGAATCCTGCGGGAATTCCGGGAATTCCGGGAACGGGGAACGGCACCTCCGACATCTGGCTGTGATCCCGGGAATCCCGGGAATTCCGGGAATTCCGGGAATGGGGAACGGCACCTCCGACATCTGGCTGTGATCCCGGGAATCCCAGGATTTATTTGGGAATTCTGGATTTGGGAATTCACGGACTCCAACGTCCGCCTCTGATCCCAGGAAATTGCCGATTTCTCCCATTTTTTCCACCTCCTTTTCCCTCCCCATCACTTTTTCCCTGGAGCTTGATGCCAAAATTCCAATTCTGGAGCTAAAAAATCATTTTCTGATATTTCTGATCAAAAATCCCAATAAAATTCTCCTTCCAGCAGCTGAAATTCCAAATCCTCGGGGGGGATTTTTGGCAAGTTTTTGGTTCGAATCCATGGAATCCATGGAAAAATCCGGGCCAGGATCCGGGATTTATCCCGAAAATCCCATCTGAGCCAAAACAGGGAATCCTGGAATGGTTTGGGATGGAAAAGATCCTTAAAAATCCCGGGCTGGGGACATTCCCAGCGTGCCAGGGGGTCCTGGAGACTCCCAGGGATGGGAAATCCATGGAAAATCTCCAGCAGGATCCAGGATTTATCCCAGAAATCCCAAAGAAACCAACCCAGGGAATGCTGGAATGGTTTGGGATGGAAAAGATCCTTAAATCCCATCCAACCCCACCCCAACCCCGCGGGCAGGGACATTCCCGGTGTTCCAGGTGGCTCCAGGGGTGGGGAATCCATGGAAAAACGGGCGGGGTTTGTCCCGGGATGGGACCGGGAATGAGGCTCGGGAAGCGGCGGCTGATGCAGGGAACGACTTTATTGAGAGCGGGATAAAGCAGAGGCGGGCGGGGCGGCGGAGCCGGGACCGGGATGGGACCGGGAATGGACCGGGATGGACCGGGATGGGACCGGGATGGACCGGGAATGCACCGGGAATGCACCGGGATGGGCTGGGATGGACCGGGATGGGACCGGGATGGGCTGGGATGGACCGGGATGGACCGGGAATGGACCGGAATGGACCGGGATGGGACCGGGATGGGCTGGGATGGACCGGGAATGCACCGGGATGGGACCGGGATGGACCGGGAATGCACCGGGATGGACCGGGAATGGGACCGGGAATGGACTGGGATGAACCGGGATGGGCTGGGATGAACCGGGATGGACCGGGATGGGCTGGATGGAGTGGGAATGGCTTGGGAATGTCCCAGGATGGACCGGGATGGACCGGGAATGTCCTGGGATGGACCGGGAATGTCCCGGGATGGAGCGGGAATGTCCCAAAATGAACCGGGAATGTCCCAGGATGGACCGGGATGGAGCGGGATGGGACCGGGAATGGCTCCGGAATGTCCCAGGATGAACCGGGAATGTTCCAGGATGGACCGGGAATGTCCCGGGATGGACCGGGAATGTCCCAGGATGGAGCGGGAATGTCTCAGGATGGACCGGGAATGTCCCGGGATGGACCGGGATGGAGCGGGAATGTCCCGGGATGGAGCGGGAATGTCTCAGGATGGACCGGGAATGTCCCGGGATGGACCGGGATGGACCGGGAATGTCCCGGGATGGACCGGGAATGTCCCAGGATGGACTGGGAATGTCCCAGGATGGACCGGGATGGAGCGGGAATGTCCCGGGCCAGGGACTGGGCCAGGACAGATCCGAGCCCGGCGCTGCCCTCGCTGCTCCCGGCGCTGCCGAAGCTCCGGAGGCTCCGGGAGAACTCGAGGACAGCCGGGGGACAGCCCGGGGACAGCTCGGGGACAGCCCGGGGACATCCCGGGGACATCCCGGGGACAGCCCGGGGACATCCCGGGGACATCCCGGGGACATCCCAGGGACATCCCGGGGACAGCCCGGGGACAGCCCGGGGACAGCCCGGGGACAGCCCGGGGACATCCCGGGACAGCCGCGGGTCCCGGCGCTGCTTTCCCAGAAAC